CGCGCCTGCGGAAAGGAGAAAAGCGTCACCGGTGCAGAGGCCAAGGGCAGCTCATCAATGGGATGGAAAAACCTTGCGGGGCTTTCGGCACACTCACGTTTTTATCCTCCAGCAGCAACAGGCGACGACGCCGGCGACCACCAGCACTGGGAGCCCTGCGGGAAAGATGCGGCCGATGAAGCATCTTCTGACTTGTGGCCCCAGCCCAGCTCAAAGAAAAGGGTTCCCCAAAGAGCCAGAAGCGCTTTGTGCGCGTTCACCAGGTGCCGTCCCCACCGCAGGGAGAAATCTGCGTGCTCTGTCCTTCCCCAGCTGGCAGGTACTGCCCTCGCCCACAGCACACACCTATCCCCCAGCCCTGAGCAGGGCTTTTAAGCTGAAAACTAAAGAAAATAAACCCTCTGTTGTCAAAATAAGCTTACCAATGGATGAGGCCAGGGTCTGGATGGAAACTGGAAAGGAAAAGGAAATTTTTTGAGCTGCAAAGCCAGGAAAAAAGGAGATTGGAGGAAAGGGGGGAAAATGCACTGAGGCAGTAAAAGAGCCTTTGCTGGTGGAAACCAGCCTCATGGGTGGGTTGTCTCCCCTAGAGAGGTGGTCTGACCTGCAGCGTGGTCGGTGGGGGCTGTGGGCAGCGGGGTTGGCTCCAGAGATGTCCCTAGGGCTGTCCCCTCGCCTGGTGTGGATGGCTCCCGTGGGGAGGGCATCTCTGGCACCACGGGCATCCCTGGTGACGGCCCGTCAGCAGCTCCCAGCAGCCCAGGTGAAGAGGAGCTGGACTTTGAGCTACCATCGGTGGTTCCTGCTTGGAAAATGGTGTAAAACCTTTTATTTTAAGGTTGCCATCAGGCAGTGACATTATTTCAGGGCTCATCCCATGCCTGCTTCAGGCAGGGAGTTGCCAGGACCATACAACCCATCTGGCAGCTACCAAAATTAAATTAATTAGATCACGCCATCGAAAAACTTGTCTTCCCACACCGCGGAGGTTGTGGTTTTGTCATGGCGGCCCCAAATCCACCCCCATGGGCTGCCCCTTCCTCACCCCTCTGGGTTGTCCAGTCGGTGCGCGAAGTGGTCGGGAGCTCAGGGCTGGTGGGTTGCGAACGCAGAGCTGGGTCCCCTTCGGGAAAACACAGCACAAGGTTAGATGTTAAGAAGTTCTTTACTATGAGGGTGGTGAAACACCGGCACAGGTTGCCGAGAGAGGTGGTGGAGGCTCCATCCCTGGAGACATTCCAGGTCAGGCTTGATGGGGCTCTGAGCAACCTGATCTGCGTAAAGATGTTGGTTGGACCAGATGGCCTTTAAAGGCGCCTTCCAACCCAACGTATTCTATGATTCTCCAGAGACACCGCCAACAGCAGCACCCACACCACCCTATGTCCTCCACCACCGCGCCGGTGACGGAGGCGTCCCCCTTCCCTGGTCCCCATCGCATCCCGGCTGCTGAGCGAGGGCTTACGGATGCATTGCAGCGTGGTGGGCGTCCAGTCGGGCTCGCTGGAGCCGTCATGGAGGACGCACTGGATGAGGCTGGAGGTGCCGGCTTTGCGCTTGTAGCCCGGGTTGCAGGTGTAGCGCAGGTGGGTGTTGAGGAACGTGCCGTTGCCCACGTCGATGTGCGCGTTGGCCACGTCCTTGGGGCGGCTGCATCGCGCTGCAGAAGGTTAAAAAAAAAAAAGGAGATGGAGAATATGAACAGGGAGATCAGGCACCTTCTGGCGCCAGCTTGTGCTGAACGGCACCCAGTGGGGGTCAAATCCTGCCTGAGGATGGGGAATCAGCGCTGGGAGAGCCTCACCCAGGGTGCAAAAAGATGGCGATGAGATATCTGTGCCTGTGCACAGGGAATGGGGAAGGGGAAAGCTCCATTTCTAGCGTGTTTATGGCCACTTGTAACAGCTTAAAGCCTTTTGGCAAAATTTCATTCCCCTTGCAACGACCGTTCCTGGCCAGCAGCCGTGTTTCAGTTTTGCTCAATGCCTGCTTGTTTCTTGGCTCTTTTTGCAACTGAACATGAAAAATTGCAGGCACTGTGGGAGTCCTCAGGCCACTTCCCGGGGTATTTTTCCCCCACCAGGAGCCACAGCTCCAGAGGCAGCTGAAATTAAAGCATCACACGGCCGGGCAATGGGGCAGTGATGAGCTAAGAATTCTCGTTTTTCTTATCCCTGGAAGGGTCCATCTTTCCCTTTTGGTCTTGGTCTGAGGTTCGTTTTGCAAGAGGGTGTAACAATTTCACTTATTTTCTCTGCTGCAGTGGAGAAAGTTCCCTGGCTGCCGCGAGACCGCC